TTGATTGTCAGTCAGTTTACTAGTAAGTGTAAGTTCACACTGAGGTTTCAGTTTACACAGGTTGATTGTCAGTCAGTTTACTTGTATTTCTACATATCAATGGCAGTTGTAGTGAAATAAAAACGTAATGTTGGGGTTTTGATGTTTGCATTCTGTCAACTGGGAAAATTGTAAGATATCATTCATTGATGGTGGTTTTTTTTGCAGTCTACAACTTCGTGAGAACATAGATGTTGATCAGGTGATCCTGATCATGGATGTAGAATACCAGGCGTCACAGTCAGCACAGTGTAGCATATTGGGAGATCTAACTGGCCTTCCGTTCTCCATCACTCCAGACCAGTTCCAGAAGAACTGCGGACTCAAACTGATTGAACCAGGCTTTGACTATGAGGTTACTAAGAGGTATAATGTGACCGTGCAAGTAACCGAAGGGGCTGTGGGGAGGAAGAAGAGACAGATCTTCAGTAAGTGTCTTTTAATCAGTTAAATCTACAAAGTGAAGAAAGTTACAAAAATTTCCTTTTACAAATACAATTGATATTCTAAGGTTTGGATTTTCACAGTGATAAATATGTCTGGAAATGAAATATGCGTTAACCTTCCACTCTGACCCTAAACTATCCCTCAACACCTCCAGGACAGGGCCTAGATCAGGACAGGACAGGGCCTAGATCAGGACAGGGCCTAGATCGAAGGCAACACATCCCCAGAGGACTCTGTTTTACCATAATGCCCTCACTAGAAGTATAAAATTCCGTCTACTAAAACTGCCTAAGGTTACTAACAGTACTTGGCAAAGAACTTCTTGACACCTCCAGCAAAATAGAAACTCACCAAAATGGTTGTGCTCAGCAATATTATAAGGACTAGGCAGTATATGGCATCAGAATATACCTATGTTAATCAATCAGTGTCCAGGGTTTTATAATATCGGCACTATTATTTGTAATAATGACACTGTTATATTGAGTATTTTCTTCTATTTCAGTACAAAACACTCACCCAATAGCGACAGTCATCATTGACGTAATCGATGTCAACGACAACTCACCCATCTTCCAGTATGACGAACCCCATATTTACCCACTCCAGACCAGCAGTGCGGGTACGGAAAACAGATACTTTGGAGCCATCGCTTCAGATGTTCGCCCAGACGCATCCGTAATGACGGTTTATGTAAGTAATAGCTATAACATCATCTATCATGTAATCTTGAATTGACATGCCAGCTGTTTTATTTTCCAGAAATTCTCATTTGTTATATTTGAATATATAAATAAAATTCTGGGATTTGGTATTTCTATTGTGCAGTATATTTCATAACATCCTTTTTTTCCTTTTTTTTTCAATTTGAAAAGTTATTATTTTGTACTGAAGATAATTTCTCTTCAATATGAGAGTAATCTATACAACTTATAGACCGATTTTTCTATCCTAAATCATTGGTTTCGTTCTATTTGTAGGCAACTGATGAAGATTCTGGACATTTTGGAGAAGTACGCTACTCAACAGTGGATCAGAGTGCAGTACCAGCAAATCCACCTTTCAAGATGATAAATCCTGAGGATGGAAAAATAATGACAACCACTGAATTCTCAGCTGACACACTGGCTGCCAAGACCTTTAAGATTCCTATATTGGCTACGGACATGGCACCGACAGTTGTGGAGCGCAAGGTCACTCAGTCAACAGCCTATGTAAGTGTAGATATAAGTAG